GATTGAATATTCTACAAAACAAAAGTTACCATAATGTTAAAAGATGTCATCAGAATCATTAATCCCAGGTATGTAAGCTAAACACTAATCCCAGGTATGCAAGCTAATTTTACTTTCTAAACAATGTCCTTTAGTAGGATGCCAATTTTACATATATTTTTGATAAATTTTAAAGTTTTGTGTTGTGTTAAAATGTGGGTATATACATGTTTTATGACATTTTGCTGTTAATTACACGAACAAGAAAAGTTCATCTTATGTCCAAAAGTTATATGTAGACTTGATAAATTGTTTAAAGGAAGGTACAGTGCAAATAACTAGTTAGTTTTACTAGTTAGTGTAAGAACATTCACACAATCTGACATTCATGAAAATGTCTGCTCTCTATGTAATCATTCATAGTTTTAAAGGAAAATAAATTTAAGGCCCATTAAGTGTTGTAGGCCCACTGTACTGAATTATCCACACTAGGAAAGTCAAGCAATGCACACTGTGATATTTTTTAATGTGTCAGAATCAGTCATATGGTACTAACAACAGTATTAATTTATCACAAGATAACAAGTCATACGATGGCCAATAATAACGTAATGGAGTCTAGTCACAGTGAGTTTTATAACACTCTGATTGGTTTGTTATAAAAAACACAAATCTGTACAACATAGTTAGCTTACATGTCTCTCAATCTAAGCCAAAATCTTAATACTTCTTACTATGCACCATTCTAGTAATTAGCTTGCTTGTATTCTGAAGTCATCCAAAACACCTTTTCTGTATATAAAACATTAGGTGCATGCATGTGCTTTAGACACCTCCACCTGTGAGCTTTGAACTCCTTCACTGTTTAAGCTCTAGGTAATTCCTATAGTTGTGGGAAGCATTTAGAGAACATTTGATACGCATACAGAACATGGATATTCTCTACAGAAAAAAAAAAAGTGTAACAGAGCAGAATAAGCCAGTATAGTTTAGTAAAGATTTAAGAGATCATATCAGGAATAAACATAATAAATTCAAGAAATTTAAAGTTACTGGAAATAATAAGGACTTGGACTATAGGAAATCAAGAGAGCTGGTTAAAAAGGGCAAAAACTATATGAAAGAGAGCTGGATGAGAGAGTTAAATTGAACAATAAGGAATTCTTTAGGTATATGATGGGAGCAAAATGTTAGGAGGAGGGCCTTTTAAAAATGATAGTGGGGAGCTGATCTCGGAAGATTATGAAATGGTAAACTTATTAAATTATATGTTCTCTTCAGTTTTTACAAAAGAAGATACAAGTATTATGCCTTAACCAGAGCACTTAATGTATGGGAAAAATATTGAAGTAAAAGATATCATTTTAAGTTCTGAGATTGTAAGAGAAAAGTTGGGAAACCTAACAATTGATAAATCCCCTGGACCAGACAACTTTTATTATAGTGTTTTAAAGGAACTTAAAGATTTTATTTGTGAACCACTAGCTAATATCTTTTTATAGGTACTGAGTAGCAGAAGAGTATTAGAAGATTGGAAGTTGGATATTGTTAGTCCAATGTTTAAAGGAGGTGATAAACATTGTCCATGCAATTATAGGCCAGTTAGTCTTACATCAGTAGTTGGAAAGGTTTTGGAGAGTGTGATTAAAGATGCATTGCAGAATCACTTATAACAGTTTGATATTGTGTCAAAGAGCCAGCATAGTTTCACTAAGGGAAAGTCTTGTTTAACAAATCTTCTGACATTCTTTGAGGATGTTACTGTAAGAACTGATGAAGGAAATACTGTGGATTTGGTTTACTTTGATTTTAGAAAACATTTGATAAGGTGCCTCACAAAAGACTTGTTACAAAAATTAAATCTGTGGGTGTGGGGGGAATGTTATTAAATTGGACACAAAATTGGCTGAAGAGTAGTAATGAATGGAGTTAGATCTGACTGGATCACAGTTACAAGTGATGTGCCTCAGGGTTCTGTGCTGGGTCCTCTGCTGTTTGTTATTTATATTAATCATATTGACTCTGGAATGACTAACATAATTTTGAAATTTGCATATGACATTAAGATTTTTGTGGTGGCTAACTGTATCAAAGATGCTGTAGACTTACAGGGAGATTTAAATCATTTGATACATTGGGCCAGTACGTGGCAGATGATGTTTAACTATCCAAAATGTAAAGTGATGCATGTAGGTTTTCACAGTTAAAATTACTGTTACAATTTGAATGGGAATACATTAAATACTGTGGTTGAAGAAAAATATCTTAGTGTTGTGATCGTAAAATCACTTAACTCATCTAAACAGTATATATTAGCTAGCAATAGAGCTAATAGGGTTTTGGGTAGCATCTATAGAAATACTGAATACAAGACAAGAGATATTGTTGTTTCACTATAGAGATCACTTATAAGCATCATTTGGAGTACTGTGAGCAGTTTTTGTCTCCCTTCCTCAAGAAGGACATTGAATTGTTGGAGAAGGTTCAGGGGGGATTTGATTGAGATGTTTAAGATCATTAAGGGTATTGATAATACAGATCCATTAAACTTTTTTGTGTTTAGCGGTGAAAACAATAGGACAAGGGGTCATAAATTCAAATTTAGCAGCATAGGAGTCGTCTGCAGTTCAGATAGTATTACTTTTCAAACAGGGTGGTTGGCTTTTGGAATGAGCTGCTTTCAAGGGTGGTGGAGGCAGAATATTTAACTGAGTTCAAAAGAAGATTGGATGAATACATGAGTAGTAAAGGGTGGTTATAGTTGGGAGCTGGAAGGGACATCCTAGATGGGCTAATAAACTCCTTTAAATGTTATGAATTTATGAAAATATATATATATTCATATATTAGTCTTGCAACTAAAGTATGTAAGGAGTAAAATACAAAGTATGTATACATGTAATAGCAAAATGAAAGTATGAATTAGCTTTATATTTGAACATCAACTAAATGAAAAAGTCATCATTTAGCAAGGGTTTATAACATTTGTTATGTAACTAACTATATGCACCTTGTTTTTTTTCCTGGTTATAACAGATTGTAAATTCAGTTTTACATATTTATGAAAACAATTAAGGAAAGAACAAATACATACCAAATACTGAGACTCTCTACTATACAATGACAGCTTCCATTAACATAACATTCAAATATGAAATTTATCATTAACCCTTTGGCTATCAAACCTATATCAAGTTCAACTTATTTAACGTTTCTAAGGATAATCACGCAGACCACCCACTATATTATATAGATAAGTATAACCTTTATGGTTTCTAAGGATAATCACACAGAACACCCACTATATTATATAGATAAGTATAACCTTTATGGTTTCTAAGGATAATCACACAGACCACCCACTATATTATATAGATAAGTATAACCTTTATGGTTTCTAAGGACAATCACACAGACCACACATTATATTATATAGATAAGTATAACCTTTATGGTTTCTAAGGATAATCCCACAGACCACCCACTATATTATATAGATAAGTATAACCTTTAGGGTTTCTAAGGATAATCCCACAGACCACCCACTATATTATATAGATAAGTATAACCTTTAAGGTTTCTAAGGATAATCCCACAGACCACCCACTATATTATATAG